CCCCAAAACCCCAAAACCCCAAAACCCCAAAACCCCAAAACCCCGATTAGGGGATTAGAGGGGGAATAAGAATTATTTAGTTAGAAAATGGATTCCACAGGTGTTGTTTCGGGATTAGGTGGAGATATGAAGAGGGTAAGAGGGATAGCAAAGGTATTGACGGCTTTTAGTCAGAATGAAGCCTTAAGGTACTGCTTTGTGAAGAATGAGGACAAAGAAGGTGCTTTCGGCTATGACTTGTTGTTGAAGTTCAAGATTATCAATAATGAAGAAGAGGGTAAGCTCACAAACTTCTCTGAAACTATTTTATTGTTTAAAGAATCTTTAGAATCAAATTGTTTTGGAAATTTATACTCAAAAGCTTCAGTTTTATTTGCAATAATATGTCGTTACCATATTCTGTCGAATTCCTTGCTTTTAGATATTTTGAAAATGTTTAATTAATAAGAGCAAGATTCTCAAAATTAATTACTCACTTAATTGTCTAAATTTCATGTATTTAATATTTCTTTCGTTTTTCAAAAACCTTAAGTTACTTCCAATCTTTTGGAGTTCAATACCACTAGATAAGAACTTAAAATATCTTTGTAGAATTTGATTACAAGTTGGTCAAAAGCAAAGAGAGACCTTCAGACTGGAAGGAGTTTAAATCAGCACTCACGAATGTAAGCCATAATTTGTCAATTGGGCGCCATTCTCTTGATCCATATCTTTTGCTGTCATTAAGATCTTCAAATAATTTAGGAAATTGAGCAAATCACAAGCTTCAAAAGATACTTCAAAAAAGCTAAAAGGTATGCTTTAATTAATCATACACTAAGCCAATTTATTTAGTTATGAGCTTCAAGAAGCAGAGAATTTTGATGAAATCCTCACCAGGATCAGCTCTCCAATCCAAGGGACTTTCGAAGAGACTTTGTCAGACAAGCCTTGCCTTGTCTACTTGGAAATAGACTATGAATCTTCAAAATTCATTGTGTATTCTTCTAAAAAGTAATTTATTTCTCATCCACAGAGACGAAATTGACCAAATGATAGATGCTCTCTTCCAATTAGAGGATGAGATCATCAGCAAGAGTGAAACTGAGTCAGACGAAGAGCATTACCTTCAAAGGAAAGACCTTGACAGTAAGTCCTTCTTTGTCTTTTGCCCAGTTGTTTCTCAGGTTATAGTTTGAATTTAGCTGACATCTTCAGACTCATCCCGATTAAGATGAAACATCCCCTCAACTCAATCCAAGGATATGGACTTTTAAGAGGATACTTGGTGTCCCTCGACCAGGAAGAGAGAACTAAACACTTTGTCAAAGTTTGTGGGAAGAACTTATGTAAGCTCGAAACATTTTATCTCACTAATTCATCTATCTCTTCAAAGGTTCTTTGAACTTTGTGTTCTTCCTTGAATCAGGGAATAACTTTGGCTATAGCTATGATTTACAAAGTAAGAAGAGACACACTTGATGAAGGTATGCAACTATTTATGAAAATCAAGATATACTTTACTCTTAAAACACTTGTGACCAGCCCAACTTTGTTCGATTTCTTCTAGAATTTTTCAAAAATTTCTAATTATCTAAGTATTATATTCCTCATTAGAAATAGTTAAAATCTTTGTGTGCCAATTTAAACTAACTTATTAAATGACCGGAGCTTTGAATATCCTTTCCATCAAAAATCTCAACAATAAGAAAGTTCATTAGATTCACTTTATGCTAAGTAGTAATTCACAATCTCTGAAATGCCCTCTGATTTTACTACAGACCATAAAAGTAGCAAGGAGCTTATCACAGAATTAAAAGGGATCAGAAGCAAAATATGTAGTGGCTTATCTCTCATACTATAGTGGAAGCACTCAAAGTCACCCAGCAAGAGTAGGCCTCCTTTCGACTTTAGATTCGTCTTTGAGAGAAATGAATACAAGTTCAGAAGAATCACTGAAAAATACAAGAAATTGCACTCGAACAAAGGCAACTCTCTCAGCTATGTTTGGACTCGAGAGCCTGTCAAGAGCATTCTGATCTTTAACCATGACAGATGCAGAGCCTCTGTATTCTCACTATCCCAGTACTCTTTTTGGTTAATTCTATAGAGATCAAGTCAGCACTATTATGAAAGAGCTTGAGGAGTGCAAGCAGGCCATCGACTATCAAGAATTTGAACTCGACGAGCTTGAAAATGTTGACATTCCAAAGTGATATCAGCAGCCCATCTATGATATTTTCGCAGAACTTTTGGAGCAAAACCAATGCAAAATTGAGTATCATGAAGGTAGTCTAGAGTCTCATATGTAGGATGTGACCAAAATTGCAATATTAAGAAAGTCCTGATCAATACAAGTCTGGAAGACTCTGAAATATTGAGATCAAAGCTTCGTCAAATTCTCTGTGGCATAAAAACAGAGACATTTCACCTCTCAAGCCAAGACTTGGCCGATGCAATTTGCCATATCAAAAAGAGAGAAAAATATTTCTTCGAAGAACTGGCTCTTCCTGATCAAGTTATATGGGCATTCAAACCAAAGTAAGATTTACTTTAGTAACATCAATGGCAATATCTGGATTTTTATATTAAAATTATCATAAGCTTGCCATATTTGAGGTCAAATATCAAGGATTTTCTGACTACTCACTGGTTTAAAGTAAATTTTGCACTCTATTCCTTTGATTTGCTCATGTCTAAATTACCGTTTCAGTATCAAGCTACTTCAACTAACAGCAAACAAAGATCTGATTCTCAAAATAAAGGAAGATCTCAATTATTACTTTACTTCTCTCAAGGTTGAAGAACTCACATTTATGAACTCTCATGTAGCAGAACAGGATTTTGAGGAATATTTTCAGGAGAATGAGTTCAAAGGCATTCATGTTAAAATTATTGTAATTTCTTCCTAACTTTTAGGATGGCAAGAGACTTAAGCTTTTAAGTTTTAAGAAAAATAAGATTACTGAAGCTATTTTTGTTATCAGAAATCACTTTGACCAGTACATTGTTTCAAGTGAGTTCTTATTACTGATCGAATATAGATAAAGAGTTCAATCTGACTGAAATGACTCTCCTTGAGAAAGATTTTGTTTCTGACAAGTTGAAAAACAAATGCTGTAACTCTGAGTTCCATAAAGAGTTTAACTTGAGTTTCATTCATTTTGAATGCTTTGAGGATCATGTATGGCTGGCATCATAATGATTTAGAGCACGGGCAATCCAAACTTTAGACACAGCATCAGAGTCTATTATAAATCAAGTAATTTGGTTACCTTATTTAAACTGCTCATTGATGCTCCAATTATAATTTTCTTCTTAAATAACCTCATTTGGATGTCAAAGCTAAAGATTATTTAAAGTGAATAAGCAGGTTGCTAATATTTAAAATAGGCAATAAATACTCAGAGAAGCTCCAAAAATTTATCCAAGACCTTAGCAACCATCTTAAAAGCACTTTGGTCAAAGATGAGATTGATGATGACAAAACTCTGGAGTACCTTGAAGATAATGATCTGTACGATTATTCAGACTGGTCGCGTACTGAATATAGTAAAGAAGAGTAAGCATGAATTAATATTTACCACTAATCTTCCTTAGTGAGCCAATGCAAGAAGTACCGAGTTACTATGTAACTTGGAATTGCATATTATATTCAATCGAGGAAGAAGGACAGTTTAAAGTGTTTGTTCAAGGTGATCAAGAAAGCAAAGACATTTTCTTAGAATATCTCAGGTAAGCTTTCTCTTCACCGAGTAGATATCAAGCAAGAAACCTTGAAACAGAAGATATCAAAAAGAGAATAGAAGATAAACTCATTGAATTCCTCTGTGATCTTCCAGAAGAAAGCCAAACAAACATTATTTCCGAAATCGAAGACAGATGCAATGTAAAATTTGTCTGTGATGAAGAAAGTTACTACTTCCAAGGCCAAGATATCGTGGGTGCCATGACTCAACTTAGAGAGAAGGTAAGGTTACAACTCAAGCATAGGTCATTCCAAAATATGAAGGCTCTAAGATAGAATACCCGGATGATTACGAATGGGACGACATTGAGACTTTAGAAGAGAATAAAGACGTAATGACAATACAACTACAAAAGGATCCTGAAGGTACTGACGAATCAGAAGAGTCAGAGCATTCACGAGAGTTCAAATTTGTTGAAAATTTGTTCCTTGAAACCTTGGATCAAGAGTTCAATTATTGGAGCATTGAAAATTGTAAAATACTGTCAATATCTCGGATCCAGAGTTATAATCTTTATTCAAGATACTACTTTGCAAAGAAGAGAGTCCTTGACAAGTACAAGGATTATACTCAAGAGAGGCTTGGTCAGTTGGATTATATGGAAGAGGATATATTGTTCCATGGGACTGCCAATACTCCTCCTAGTATCATATACAAATCCAAGGAAGGAATAGACAGGAGGTTTACTACTGCTCATGTTCATGGGTATGGCTCATATTTTGCAACAAAATCTGGCTATTCTTGCCATGATAGATTTGTATACCAAGAAAATGGCATTTATAAAGTCCTTGTATGTAGGGTGTGTATTGGAAATTACACAACCAGAGATAAATTAGATAAGAGAACAGAAAGTATCCTTGAAGTCAATCCTGAAACTGGCCTCAGATATGACAGTGTCACTGATCAGCTTAAAAATGTAGAGGACAGGCAGATGTTTGTTGTGTTCAAGAACGAACAATCTTATCCCCAATGGGAGATCTTATTCAAGAAAAAAGGCTAAAGTTATATAAATTGATGGTTAATCCTTTATTTTGTAGAGTAAGAGTTGTTAACATCTTTTAATAAAACCCAAGCCAGCACTTTCATTGAGTTAAACCTTATGCAGCTTAGATTTAGATGATATTATTTGCTCTTTTTTATTAATTATTTCAACTAAGGAATGGTCTCCTAATTTTACGTTTAAATTAGAGTTCAACAGTTCTGTTCAATAACTTATGAGCCTTGTTTCGTCCAAATAAGTTCTGAATCCATGGTTGGATCATGAAACAAATTTAGAGTTAAGTAATCGGCCAATAAATTGAGGTAAATTATATCCTAGGTTGTCATCAATGGACCAAATAAGGTTTATAGAGGTATTTTACTAATAAATTAGAGAGCACTCGTATATGAGTGTTGAAAAGTTAGGGGATTAGAGCCTCATATCGGAGAGATTTCTAAGTTTTAGATGTTTATGTCTGATTCCAGATAGATATCTCACAGACTGAATTTGTGGATAGCAAATTTATAGACAAGATACTTCAATGTTGAATTTAGAGCTCGGGGTTTTGGGGTTTTGGGGTTTTGGGG